AACTTCATCGTGATAATGTAATTAATGTTACACAATAGATAAGGTTAAGGTATAAGGTATAATGGATGTTTACACAATGAAGATAATGTTGCATAATGCAAACGATAGAGGGGATGATTAATGAGGAATCCAGTAATGTGATGGTCAATGAGAATAATGAGAAAGGCCATTGGGATTGCTTTGAAGGTAGGTATTAGGGATGTAATATATTAACCTTGGTCTTCGTTGATGGCGGACTGGAGTCTCTTGATGTGAATGTCTTCTAATAGTTTCCGGATCTTTTAGTGGGGCTGATTACTGGTGAGTTCGTTTAAGCTGTTCCACAGGATGTTTTCGTCTGGGTGAGTTTGGGTGTGGTCAGACAAGGTAGATTGTGGCGGTTATATTGGTGTGGAAGTTTCAGATGAAAGTGCATCCGAGAAAATGAAATGGATTAAAGGCCCTCATTGCATGCTTGAGGGATATTGTCTTCACTAAAAGGGTCATGAACAACATATTCACAAATTTGTGAGTGAAATAATAGTTATGTGATAACAATGAACACATCAAAACCAATACTGAAGTATGACAGACGTTATATATCCGTCAACGATTGAAAGGACGATAAATTTCGAGCTCGATTCACTATATCCTGACCTGCCGTTGACCTTGGACAACCTCGACGGGTTCAATCGGGTCAACATTTATCTATCAGATGTGTTTTCTCGATGCAAGTTTTACAAACAGTAATGTTCTGGCATAGAATATTTGTTAAAACCGTTTCAGACTTGGTATAAACATTTACCTTTCACGATTCCCTAGATCCGTTAGGAGTAGATTTGGACTAAAGACCGCCTGACAGCAGATGTTACATTTACGGATATCTGTTCATTAATTGTATAATGCAGAAACATTCAATTGGGAAAGGCCATTTCGTCTTCTTCTTCCTTAAAGTGAAAGTTTCACACACTCATGTTTCGATCAATCACAGCCATGACCTGCCAGAATGTTATTTACTATTAGCACAGTCATGCTCCAAATACATTCTCCCAGTTTGTGTTACATATTAACATATAAGAGTCTCTCAAGACAGTATTTCAGGTCCGACCATGTGATATTGGAGACTGGATATTTTCCCACAGCTGCAAACCCAAATATTTATTTTTCATTAAAGCTGTGATGCTAAATATTATTTTTAATAAAGCAGTTTGCAGAGAATTTTGACAGACAAAACAACATTTTCGAGATAAATACTTTTACATTTTCAAGCATTTTCTGGGACAGTCTTTTGTCAGTGACGACGTTCATCTTCAAACTGTACTGAACCATGACACATCTGAGTTAAAAATGTTGTCCTTCATGGCTGAAAAATATTGTTCTCATTATATGCTAAGGCTTGTACGCCATCATCGCCCATCTTCATAGTGAACACTATTGTGTATCAGGGGCGGAGGGGTAGCTTAGCCGTTAAAGCGTTCGCTCATCACACTGAAGACCCGGGTTTGATTTCCCAGGGTTTGAGAACAATGTGTGAAGCCCATTTCTGGTGTCCCCCGCCTTGATATTGCTGAAATATTGCTAAAATTATCGTAAAACTAAACTCACTCACTCACTCACTCACACACCCCATCAATATCATGAAAAGTATTGTGTTCCAGGGAAACCCATCTACTCCTGTGCCTGTTTGCCAACTATTACTGAGGACGAAATAGATGAGATTTAAACTGAAACAATCCTACATCCCATTGTCAAAGATCAACCAGCACGCACGTCTTTCGAGGTAACAAAATAAGTCTACTTGATTAGGTACCAATGTGACTGAAAAAATGGATATTCCTTCTGATAGTTCCCCGACGGTTTGGGCATTTGAGCAACGGATATATAGTGCAATGTAGATTTTGACAAATTACAACAGGACAACATGATTGGTTGGAATGAAGGATGAAAAAAAGTAATGGAAGTGGATTTCCGTAAAAAATCATTGTGGTCACGAGCTGCATCTATTGAAAACAACACCGCTTATTTTCCGCACTAAGAACTTATGTACATTATCATTGTTGTAGAACACGGTTATAGGCAATGAAGACGTGATCTCGACATAGCATTACAAAAGATGCCGTGAAGTAGCCAATTCCCATCAACTGATAACGCTCACAGTAATAAATCAGACAACTTTATCGATTGGCATCTTATTGGCTTCATTACACGTGCTGGTTCTTACTTCTCAACTGGCCTCATCCAATTATGTACCACTTGCTATTCAATTACTAGTACATGCTGTTGTCAATGTTAATCTGATGTTTGTCACAACACACTATTTTTATATACTTCTCAATACTTGGTTGTAGTCACTTTTTACTTGAAAGTGGTGTAAGTATAAACACCGACACGTCACTCTATGCAATAATTGTTGTTATCCATAAAGTTGCATGCTTTATTATTGACTCACAAGTTCTAGAAAGCCGATCAAACACTCCCATTGGGATACGATGACATGTGTCAACAAAGTCAGCGAGCCTGACCCGAATGATACGTGGAGATCATAAAAGGAACAACAAACTATTGACAAAAAAGATGATTTCAACTTTCCCATAGTCAATTTCCCCTTTGCATCTACGAATATTCCCAAGAGCATCACACGACCCTTGCTCTGAAGCAGTTCGATTAAGGTTACGACACCCAAAGCCTCAGTAAAGCTTTCGAAAGCTTTATGGCAGATACATTGATGACATTTCAAATTTTGATGCATCAGTGACAAAAAAATACGTCCAGTGGAATTCTTTTGTACCATGCGTTCCTAATTTCTTTCAGGTGAACAATTGACTTGCCTTAACATATGTTTGTGACTGTTGGGACGCATACGCTCACTCTTTGTAGCGAACACCTGGTGTCATCACTACTTGACAGTGATTTATTCAAACATGCTCTGTCATCGTAACTCATTATGTTATTCACTGATTATTTACAAACTGCATACATCATAGTTTTTGGAGTGTCTTTTTCTTGTTGTTTAACGCTGCTACACACAGGACAATACACAATGTGTTACAGGATTATAAGTATATGACGATATTCACACGACAATACATACATCATAATACGTGATTGGACAGTTGGTATAATACAATACACACAGGACAATACACATATCACAATGCATTATAGGATAATTGGTACATAACGCAACTCACAGTGCAATACATATATGACAATGTATTATAAGACAATAGGTGAATGAGTGAGTGAGTGAGTTAATATTTAACGTCACATCGGCAATATCTCAGCCGTATCGTGACGAAAACAATGTGTACAATAAAAAAAGAAAACATTTTAGAGAGTAAAACCTGTCGAAGATGGACAGTAAAAATACTAGAGTATCACAGACATGAACATAAAACTAGCATGTAAAACTAACAGATTTTAAGTAAAGAAGACAATACAATATAAAACACGGACTATAGATCGCCAACAACTGAAGGTAGATCACCATACTAGGAACCACGGGGACTTACATTACTTTTGCTACCTGCATGGACCCTAGCTCGATTTATATCATCCCTTCAGCCGCTGGCGATTGTAGTAAAATTTAGCCATAAGTTAAAAGCACATAAATTCTACGTTTAAAAAATCTGGTAAGATGAGATTGACTCTAAATGTTTCGGGACTTACGTACCCTCTCAGGAGGACAATAATTTTACGGTACTTTAACCCCCTTTGAGGGTACAGCCACTAACAATCTAAGTTACTAATCTAAACTACCAATCATTCAAATACATCTATCTACAGAACATATTATTCAAAATTCATCTATTAAATCAATTCCTTTTTAAAAAAACAATAATTAAATGAAAATTAACAGTGTTAAAAAGAACCTTAACTGTTTTCACATTGAAGTATTTATCCCTTATGATGGAACATTCAACACAGTTCTAATACAAGATTTGTAATCAGAGTAAGGAAGAAGAAGTGGTGTCACAGATTTGTTGAGTGCTGCCTTGGCAGCAAGATCAGCCATTGTATTCCCAGAAATGCCAACGTGGCTGGGTCACCAACAAAAGACGATGTCGTATTGGTCAGTAGCAAGATCATTATACAATTCAATTATTTCAATTAAAAGTGGATGTTTACAAGAGAGATTTTTTATAGCCTGAAGGCAAGAAAGAGAATCTTAAAAAATACTATATTGTTTATATTTGGGGTGTCTATTAATATATATAGTGAGTGAGTGAGTGAATGAGTGAGTTATTATTTAACGTCACATCGGCAATATTGCAGCCATATCGTGACGAGAACATATTTGATTTTGAAGTGGAATATATGTATATTATAAAAACCTGTCGACGAAGGACAGTAAAGCAACTATAATATCACAATTACAACTAAAACTAGTATGGAGAGTTAAAACTGATAGCACTAATTGGACAATACAATATAAAAACAAGCTATAGATCGCCAACACCAGAAGGTAGATCACCAAACTAGGGACCATGGGGACTTACAGTACCTTTGCTACCTGCATAGACCCTAGTTGGATTTACACAATCCCTTCAGCTGCTGGCTATCGTAGGAAATATTAGCCAAATTTAAAATGACAAGAATGCTACGTTTGAAAATCCTGGCAAGTTTATATGGACTTTGAACATTTTGGGACTTACGTACCCTCTCAGGAGGACAATAATTTTACACTACTTCAACCCCTTTGAGGGTACAGCCACTAACAATCTCAGTTACTAATCTAAACTACCAATAATAAAATATATATCTATTTACAAATCAGTTAACAAATCTATTTTTTTTAAAAAGGCAATAATTAAATGAGAACTTATATTACTAAAAAGATCCTTCATAGTTTTTACTTTGAAATAGATATTCCTTGTGATGGAATATTCAACACAGTCAAGCAGGACATGCTTGACCGTGATTCTTTCATCACAAGGGATACAAAACGGAGGATCCTCACCTTTTAATAGGTACTCATGAGTATATCTTGTGTGGCCAATACGACATCGTCGTATGATGACCTCCTCAAATCTGGACTGACAACCAAGTGGGTGTTACCAATGCAGGGTTTTATTGCATGTAATTTATTAATACCTACTTGAGTGTCCCACTTCTTCTGCATCAGATCACGGATGTAAGTTCTAATGCTAGCCTTGTAATCAGAGTATAGAATAGGAAGTGGTGTCACAGATTTGTTGAGTGCTGCCTTAGCAGCAAGATCGGCCATTGTATTCCCAGAAATGCCAACGTGGCTGGGTAACCAACAAAAGACGATGTCGCATTGGCCAGTAGCAAGATCATTATACAATTCAATTATTTCAATTAAAAGTGGATGTTTACAAGAGAGATTTTTTATAGCCTGAAGGCAAGAAAGAGAATCTTAAAAAATACTATATTGTTTATATTTGGGGTGTCTATTAATATATATAGTGAGTGAGTGAGTGAATGAGTGAGTTATTATTTAACGTCACATCGGCAATATTGCAGCCATATCGTGACGAGAACATATTTGATTTTGAAGTGGAATATATGTATATTATAAAAACCTGTCGACGAAGGACAGTAAAGCAACTATAATATCACAATTACAACTAAAACTAGTATGGAGAGTTAAAACTGATAGCACTAATTGGACAATACAATATAAAAACAAGCTATAGATCGCCAACACCAGAAGGTAGATCACCAAACTAGGGACCATGGGGACTTACAGTACCTTTGCTACCTGCATAGACCCTAGTTGGTTACACAATCCCTTCAGCTGCTGGCTATCGTAGGAAATATTAGCCAAATTTAAAATGACAAAGAATGCTACGTTTGAAAATCCTGGCAAGTTTATATGGACTTTGAACATTTTGGGACTTACGTACCCTCTCAGGAGGACAATAATTTTACACTACTTCAACCCCTTTGAGGGGTACAGCCACTAACAATCTCAGTTACTAATCTAAACTACCAATAATAAAATATATATCTATTTACAAATCAGTTAACAAATCTATTTTTTTTAAAAGGCAATAATTAAATGAGAACTTATATTACTAAAAAGATCCTTCATAGTTTTACTTTGAAATAGATATTCCTTGTGATGGAATATTCAACACAGTCAAGCAGGACATGCTTGACCGTGATTCTTTCATCACAAAGGGATACAAAACGGAGGATCCTCACCTTTTAATAGGTACTCATGAGTATATCTTGTGTGGCCAATACGACATCGTCGTATGATGACCTCCTCAAATCTGGACTGACAACCAAGTGGGTGTTACCAATGCAAGAGGTTTTATTGCATAATTTATTAATACCTACTTGAGTGTCCCACTTCTTCTGCATCAGATCACGGATGTAAGTTCTAATGCTAGCCTTGTAATCAGAGTATAGAATAGGAAGTGGTGTCACAGATTTGTTGAGTGCTGCCTTAGCAGCAAGATCGGCCATTGTATTCCCAGAAATGCCAACGTGGCTGGGTAACCAACAAAAGACGATGTCGCATTGGCCAGTAGCAAGATCATTATACAATTCAATTATTTCAATTAAAAGTGGATGTTTACAAGAGAGATTTTTTATAGCCTGAAGGCAAGAAAGAGAATCTTAAAAAATACTATATTGTTTATATTTGGGGTGTCTATTAATATATTTAGTGAGTGAGTGAGTGAATGAGTGAGTTATTATTTAAAGGTCACATGCAACGTAAAACACAACTTTGCAGATTCTGATACCTTTCGGTATGGACTTACCGAAACAAATCGTCAAAAATGCAAATTCAACTTATAAAGTTGAAAAATAACGCGATGAAAAAAAACGCGCGAAATCGGAGTTCAAACGTTTCACTAATTTTCCCCCGACTTTTCTTGGGAAAACGGGTTTCAACAGCTGGGCTGCGCTCATAGCACGTGCGCAAGTAAATAGGTTCGCGCAGCTTGGAAGCGGGTTCTCGGGTGAATATTTGGTGAAGGCTTTGGTGTGAACTATTTTTTCTAATGTTTTGTTGATATCTCACAGGCGCGAGCTTTTCATATGTCATGAATGTGAATTAACTGTTTATATAATTTCATTTGTCTATTTCACAACACGTTCTTCTTACCGAGACACTTTCTCAGTTCGATACTTAAAAGCAATGTCATTATTTAGCGTTGACACAATTTCTAACTGTGATATAAATATGTCGTTATCACAGACAAAACTCAATGTCTTGTTTTATTGACACCTGTGTGTCTGCCTGCCTGTCTGCTAATGACAATATTCAATACACAGCTCCAATCACTGACCACATGCAATTTGAACTTAACACCAATCAGGCTGTACACCATAAACAAGATGCATTGATTTATGGCCCGAGTTCGGTCTCTGTCACATTATGTAATTACACAGACAGGCAGGTGTGATACTTGAACACATGACATGTTATGATGTCTGTTGATTGCAAAATGTTATACACAAAAAATGAGCATGTATTTACAAAACCCAACATCTCTATATATACACACACAGTTAGCCGTGAGGGCATACGCAAATGAACCAGCCGTTACACTTGAGTGCACACGCACCCGCTCTGACTGGGTTCGGTATCCCGGCTGCTTCGTTTCTTGGGAAGTAAACCGAAGTACACAATTTTGCACTTTTGATTTGCGATTGTACGCTTATAATTTTGTTTATATGTTTTTTCATAACCAGCAATGTATATTATATGTCATGAATAAGTGATAATTGTGTTTTGATTATGTTTGATTTTTTGGTTGCATGTGACCTTTAACGTCACATCGGCAATATTGCAGCAATATTGCTCATTATACAATTCAATAATTTCTAATAAAAGTGGATGTTTACAAGAAATATTTTTAATAGCCTGAAGACACGAAAGAGAATCAGAAGAGATGATGTATTGTTTATATTTACGGTGTTTATTTATATATTTAAGAGCTGTTAATATGGCGTTAGCTTCTGCTGTGAAAATAGAGCTGTTATTTGGTAGTCGAGAAGATATTGTTTTGGACCCAATGACAGTGGCACAAGCCACCGCGCCACCATCCTTGGATCCATCTGTAAATAAGGATTTATATGTATTATATTTATTTTTTAATTGACTAAATTCTTGTTTATACTGTAAATCATTAGTTTCGGATTTTTTTAATGTGGTTTATGTTAAGTCAACGTCTGGCCTCACCAATTGCCAAGGAGGAGAAGAAAGAAGACGAGAAGGAGATATATTCTCCAGCTCAGTTCCGGCAGCAGAAAGGAATGGTTTAATTCTGTGCCAAAGAGGCGGAACAAGAGAAGGTTTTTTGTTATACAAATCCTCATAAAGAGGATTGAAGACACAGTTAAATGCAGGGTTAGACTCGTTAGAATATAGTTTGGTAATATATTGTAAATATAATTTAATACGGCGTTGGGAAAGAGAAGGCTCATCTGCCTCAACATAGAGACTATCAACTGGAGAAGTTCTAAATGATCCAAGACAAAGTCTTAGACCTTGGTGGTGAACAGAATCAAGTAGATTAAGGTTGCTTTTGCAGGCTCCGCCATATACGATCGAGCCATAATCAAGTTTAGATCGTACCAATGATCGGTATAAGTGAAGGAGGGTAGTTTGATCCCCTTCCCACTTTGAATTGGAGACAACCTTTAACAAATCGAGTGCCTTCAGGCATTTAGCTTTAAGGGATTTAACATGTGGCAGGAATGTTAAATGGGAATCGAAAAATAGGCCCAAGAATTTGGCCTCCTTTACAACTTTGATGGGATTTAAAGATAGTTCTGGGTCCTTACGAGGCTTATATTTACGGCAGAAATGTATACAATTAGTTTTGGATTTAGAAAATTTAAAGCTGTTTTCAAGACACCATTTATTTATTTTATTTAAACACAACTGCAGTTGTATAGTTCAATAGTATGCATATTTTTACCGCGACAAGAAATATTAAAATCATCCACAAAAAGTGATCCGTCAATTGAATCGTTTAAAACCTTGGATAAACTGTTAATCTTAATGCTAAATAATGTGACAGACAAAATACTTCCTTGTGGAACACCCTGATCCTGATTATAATGGTCAGACAGGGTAGAACCCACTCGGACTTGAAATTGCCTGTTTTTTTAAAAATGTGATATGAAAAGAGGTAAACGACCTCTCAAACCAAAATCATGTAAATCCTTCAAAATGCCATGCTTCCAGGTCGTATCATATGCTTTCTCAAGATCAAAAAAGATTGATACAGCATGTTGTTTATTTACTATAGCATTTTTAACAAAGGATTCTAATCGTACCAAATGATCAATGGTACTACGGTTTTTCCTGAAACCACATTGAATATTTGTTATAAGGTTATTGGTTTCAAGATACCAAGTTAATCTATTATTCATCATACGTTCCATGGTTTTACAAACACAGCTAGTTAGAAAGATCGGCCTGTAATTCGACGGATCTCTATGATCCTTGCCAGGTTTTGGTATTTGGACTACAATGGCATTACGCCATGAAGGAGGAAATTCTCCAGACGTCCATATTTGGTCAAATATATCTAAAAGTGTCATCAGACATGGTTCCGGTAAGTGCTTCAGTAGCTGGTAATGTATATTGTCATCACCCGCTGCAGTGTCATGAGCTTGCTCAAGAGCAGTGTGTAGCTCATGTAATGAAAACACTTCATTATAATCTTCACCGTTATGCGAGTCGAAATTAAGTTTTGTCTTTTCCTGTTGCTTCTGATATCTCTGAAACTCAGGGACATAATTTGCCGATGATGAATTTTTGGCAAGAGTTTTGCCAATTTCATCTGCAATTTTAGATTTGTCAGTTATTAAATTATCGCCATCTTTAAGATGGTGAACAGCCGATTTTGAACCTTTGCCTTTAATTCTTTGAACCATGTTCCATACCTTAGCCATTGGCGTGCGTGAATTAATTATGGAGACATAATTTCTTCAAGATTGTCGTTTGTTTTGTTTAAAGGTACGACGCGCCTTTGCATTGAGTATTTTAAATTTATTTAAGTTATGGACAGTTGGATGATGGCGGAAATAACGCTCGGCCTTTTTCCTCGCTTTTCTGGCTTGTCTACAATCTGTATTTAACCATG